GGAGATTTTAAAACGCCGTCGAACGACACTTCTGTCCCTCGACCGTGAACGTCATTAAGTATTAATCGTGACGATTCTTGCGACGTTAGCTGCTATATTAGACGAATTAAATACGGTCGAATCGAAATCCATCGTTCTCAATGGACATTGGTATTGAAAAATAAATTTTAAATGAAAATCCATTTGGTAACGTCTGTTTCGTTTGCTGAATTTAATTGCGGAGCACGTTTGGACAGACAAAAGGCGAGTTACGACAGAGCGAAGCGCTATGACACAGCGGAAAATATTATTTGACTTTCTGACGTTAAACCGGCAACCGTACGGTTAACGAGGGAGTAAGAGAACTGCGGCTTTCAGAGAATTACCGCGGGTTATTTATCCCCGGAGAATAGAGGATTTCTGTTTTCGATTACAAACCGAGTAACGTGATATTTTCGGTCCTGGTCGCGACGAATAATACTTTGAAAAAATTGGAACGAAATTCTCGCAAACAATGATTTATCGCCGGGAGATAATTGATCTACCGATACACATGGCCCGGTAAAAAGGGTCAGAAGGTTTGCACGATTAATACGCGATGAATCTTCCGTACAATTTTCCCGAAAAGAATTTACAATACAGTGACTAGAAACTAAATGGAACGTCCGATAAAGCGATCAATTGACGTCTGCTAAAACCGATAATATCTTTAAGAAGTAACTGGATTTTCAAAAATCGCTTCGATTGGTATAATTAAATGATCGGAAAGAAATAGAAAGGAAGACATAAAAAAAGAGGCCGGGATTAGCGAAGGTTCCTGAATCGTACGTTCCATCAGAAAGTCAATCGTCGAACGGTTCCAATCGAGATTGGTCACATCCGGAATCGAAAGTTGGATTCATATCAAAAACTACCGAAGGAGAGGTTTGGCGTCAGCACCGATATTTTCTACTGTTAGTAATTCTCGATAGGGAAAATCGTTCCCCGTTCCGATGATCGATTCCGGGTGACGCTTTATAAAGGTATCAGGACGGTAATGCTGGAAAAAGCGGAGGACGGGGTCGCGACAATGGCCAAGGAAATGCTCGTTTATCGAGGAACGCGAGGGAACACACGTCCCGATCAACAGTTTCCTCGTTGTTTCTCACTTTTCGCTTTTCCTCAATTTACGTGGAACGATTGCACGCTGCGTAGAATCGGCCACGATAAAAAAAATGGTGCTCGCGAACCAGATTCTCACGTTTCTTTTTAAGAAGAATTACTGATCAACCAAAATGTTCTTCGCCGAGCGAACTTCGTGGAAAACGAATGCGAATAACATTCTAACATTTCTTTCAAACGTGGAAAATGCTGAGTACAGAGAATTCATCGGAATCTGAGAGCTCAGGGATATTGTAATAAAATTTGCTGAACAACTTTTTATTATAATATACCGGCGGAGGCTTCCGCCGTGTAGTTGATTGCATCCGCGGTATCGTGTAACAAAGATGGACGAGACGGATCAAATTACAAACACTTTTAAAAGCGTGCGATCTGTTCAGTTTCCACGAATTCTGTAATACTTCCTTTGATAAGTCTGACATCAAAATTATTGCGAGATCGGTGAGTCATTGATCTTAAATCTGCATCAAAGCCTGCATAATGAATTTTCCCAGAAAACTACTTAACTAGTTTTGAGAAGTGTTTTGTCGCTGGAAATCTGTTTATAAAAGGGATACCACAGGCTTGATGTTTCTTGCAAACTGATTCGTACCCACGCACATTTCACTTGGTGCGCAACGACTTAAAAAACTGACTTCCACGTTGAACAGTTTTCCAGCGATGAATATCTATTTCGATCTAGGAGCACGTCGAGTTTATAAATAATACCGGCTCGGCATCGATCGTGGAGGCAGACCACGTTTAATAAAATTAACCGCGAAATTGATGCATTAAGAATTCGTTGAATCGGCGATGAAAATTTCTTTTTACTCGCTCGCCCGGGACATGTTAAAATCGTTATCGATGCGACGAAAAGGTTACGTAAATTACCAACGGGAGATTCTGGTGGGGAGAGATAAGAGAACAAAACCCGTGTCCGAAGTTAGAATTGGCAGACAGGTAGCTAGCGGCTAGGTACGGTAAAAAACAGCGGTATCATTCTTTGCCGTCGTCCACCCATTGTTGGAAAAACGAGCACGCGAAGTGGCGAATACAGTAAGACATAATTCAGTGCCCGCGCGAAAAATATCCTCCTCTATCTTCTACCTCAATGTAATGACCAACGACGAGCGTAACTGCAAACCATCGTTCCAAGTCCGTTTTTCAATCGTTCGATTCGACACCTTTAAGGATGTATAGGCTATACAATTAAACAATGCTAATATGTTGAATTTGTTATTATAGATTCCTATTACTATTAAAAAGCTAAAATTATAGTGATTTCAAATTTTTCATAGGTAATAGTATCATCTACAACCTTTACTTGAAGCATTCTTCGATATTTTGACAAAAAAAAATTTTTCAATTTTTCCGAGATTTTTCCAAGGGGTACCCCTTCAGATTTTGTGAAAATTTCGTTTTTTGCCCATAATTCCGAAACCCTTGGAGATACGGGAAAATTGCATAGGACCTTTTTTATAGAGGACGACGAGACCTACAATTTCCATGCAAAAACTTTTCGCTAGCGTTAATAGTTAACGAGTAATTTGCAAAAAACTGTTTTTTCGTTTTTTGCAAATAACTCGTAAACTATTAATGCTAGCGAAAAGTTTTTATATGGAAATTGTAGGTCTCGTCGTCCTCTACAAGAAAGGTCCTATGCAATTTTCCCGTATCTCCAAGGATTTAGGAGTTATTGAGGAAAAACGAAATTTTTTTCCAAAAGTTCGCCGTTTCGACGGTGGAATGGTCGGATTTTGTCAACATCAATAAAATGCCAAATAATCATACTTAACTCATTAAATATCGAAATTAGAAGATAAATGCACTATTTTTAATTACCGGAAATGGGTTTTTCTAAGGTATATAAACTTGTGGGATTGACTGTATAGCTAATACATCCTTAAGCTCATAGGCACACCACGGGTATAATTTATTTTCTAAGAAGTCTGAAACGTGTAACACGCGTTCAAACCCTTCATGGACTAGAACGTTAGCAAGGAACGACTCGATCAATATTTTCAGACAGTTTGCTATTTGCACGACGAGATCAACCAAAACCGTCTTGTTACCAGCTCGGACCTATCATTTAACACCTTCTGCTTTATAGCGCGTGATTCGAACGAGCGGTATGCATATTCTCTATATATAAACTCGCAGTGCGCCGTTCGATTACGTAGAGAATGTTCACTAACATAGAACAAATTGTATTTTGGAACGATATAAAAGTAGAAGAGTGATTCATGCTTTTTCCTGTACAATCGCTTGTCCATTCAGTATTTGTTTCAGTTTCGCGAGGAAACGACGGTAGGTATTAAATAAACAAGGAATGCGGAGCGAACGCCGTTAAAGAAATAAGCAAAGTTTGCGGTAACATGTTGAATATTAAAGAACGTCAATATTGTCGTAACGAGTTAGGAAAAAGTAATTTCAACTTCGCCGGTTAAACATCAAAGTGCAACAGCTTTAAGCGGCTCGGGGAAGGGTTGAAAATTAGCTTGCACATAGATTCGAAACATCTTTGTAAAGAATCGCTCATTTGTAAGCTCGACAAAAAGATCTCAGTAAACACACGCGTTTTTACGAGCGAGAGAGCTTCGCGTTTTAAATGCCGTTCTCAGTGAAACCGAAACATCGTTTAATGCACGAATTTCTGTTATTCTTTCCACATCCGTTTCTTTCTTCGTCCCCCTGGGAGAGGTTTTAATCGACCGTAATCCTCGCATCCATTTCATTTTATCAATTCACGAAGTTTTATCAATCTAACGTGTGTAATTAATTCACGCTGTGAGCGAACAGTCGAGTTAGACACGTCGAACGACTTTAATTACTTTGTTCGTACCGTGAGATGATCAACGCTCGTCTCTGACGATTCCGTGAAAGAAGCTCATCGTAAGTACTGATAACCGTCGGGACGGTTTAACCACATTAGTCGTTTCTGCGAAAGAATTGACACCAGGTTGCATCCGAATTGCAAATTCGAGATAATGGAAAACGTGAGGGCGAATATCAACCAGAAGTTTGCCGGGCAAATTCGCACGAGCCCAGGCAAACAATGCACGTTTGCGCGTGGGTCACCTGCTAAAACGATTCGTCCGAGAAAAATGCTGATTTAGAATTCAAACGCGGTTCAATGTAACAGTGATTTTATTCATTGAAGACGACCACCTACACCCTCACCCCCCTCCCAGCGCCGCGCGCCCGATCCTCCTGTGATTCGAGCAATCACGATTTTCGTGTTTGCGATCTACCGATTTTACCGGATTAGAGGGAACAGAAGGGGATGAGTAATCAATTGACCGAGTGTCCGGCCTGCGATGTATGTGGGTGGATAAGAGTTTCCAAGTTATTTGTAGAGATAAGGGATCCCGGAACAAATAAAAGAATCTCGACCGGTGTTTGCCAAAATCCTCTCTAAGCTCGGTCCCATGTACTCGGCAGAAATGTATGTGTACTCATTAGACCGTGAACCTTTATACCAAATAAAACATGATGAAACGTGATTTAAATAGAAACGAATCGTATACGGTTACGTGAGAATTATAGGATCTACGGTTTGACGATAAATTATTTCGAGCAGTCCAACTATGCTGGCTTCGATCGTTTCGTGGCACAAACAGACTGACGTTAATTATTACACAGAAACAGAGGAGTGCGATGCGGTATAAAGTGCAATCATCGCTAGCACAGCAATTACGTGCGCGCCTAGAAATTGCAAGATACGTAACGGTCTCTGTAGGAACCGTAAACGTAACACGGCTTCGCAGCTGTTGCACGCAATACCGCGCGTCTTTGATTTACAGAGAGAGAACCCGTTTTACGAGGCATAAAAAAGCCGAGTTTCCGTAACCGTGGGATAATCGTGGCGTGTTTGCTTTCAGGAAGCTTACGGGCAAAGGTGAACCGGTGCTGTTTGTAAGAGTCGAGTGGCAGAAATATGGGCCAAGGCCGTACGTTACCGAAATCGAGTAATTTCCGGCCGCCAAAGGGAACTCGACGCTGATTCCACGAACGGATCCACTACCAGGGAGATCACTCGGAACAGCCAGTAGCGAACGTCGAACGTTCACCATGCCGCCTCGCAGTGGATGCACAAAAGGTCATTGGAATTGATCGTTAACTCTTTATCTCAAACGGCTTCCGTGTGAAACGTTCACGTTCAAGGAACAAAGATAAGAATAGCGACGAGATTCGCTTTGAATTAAAATGGACTTTAGTTCCATTCAGATTCTTGTTTCTGAAGTAGATCTTCGTGACTGTGCTTCGTGTACGTTTGACACGAGTAATAAAACAAAAAAGTACGATGGACTTCGTGTCACCGTCAGTACACACGCGCGAGTACCGTCTATTTTTGGTAACGCGTCAAGGAACCCTGTATGTGAAATTTTTAGGACTCCGCGGGAACGGGAAGTCGAAACACTGAATTCGTCGCAAATCGACGTGGCCCGTCGGATGCGTCATGTCGTCCTACGAGAGGCACGTTTACGAGTGGAATCTTACTTGAGCCGCGGAGAAGCATCGAGATTACAATGTCGGCGACCGCGACGGACACGCTGCCGTCGACGACCGTTACCGGGGAATTGACGACTGCCCTGATACCGACCGTGACCAGGATCGATACGCGGCTAGACGTCAGTCCGATTTCGGTGGTCCTGGCGGTGTCGATAGTCTGCATTTTATCACCGATCACCGTCACAGGGAACTCGATTATTCTGGCCGCCTTCTATAGATACAAGAGGTTACGGACTGCATCCAATTACCTGCTGGTATCTCTAGCCGTCAGCGATTTCGGGGTAAGCTCTAACGAGGACTTTCGTTTAAGCTCGTAATCGATGTCCCATACGGTTCTCTTCGAAGAACCCCGCGACATATTTACAAGTGATCGATTATAGAAAAATTGAAATGTGCATTCGACGTCTAAAAAAGACGTACGGAAGATCGAGGCTGAACTGTTCGAACAAATCCAATTTTATCTCGCACGAAATTCTGTAATCTATTCATGTAAGATTCGATTAGAACATATCCCGAGGGACATAACACTGTATCTCGAAGATTGATCATCCACAAAATATTTTAATTAACCAGCTAATCGATCAAGTCAACCCGGATGAGGACCTCGCGATTCGGCACGTGTATGATTGATGTCATTACATTAGATCGGCCCAAATTCATCCATCTCGGCCACGCCCGTTTACGTTATGACTAACAAATAAAGGCAGTACAGCGAAATTGATAAACAAACACTATTATACGCGTTTGTGAGCTACATTGAAACGGTTTAGTCGTTAACCTTTACGTATTAGGCAATCTAAAAGCACTCTGTACACCCTTCAACGACCCAATTACAAACTTCACTGCCTCACCCAGGCGTATCTGGTGAACTACCTGATGTCGTTCCCAAGTGAATATCAATTTTCAATGGTCCCATCGTCATTAAGAGTAATCATATCGACCGATATAAATTTTGTGTCCGACGAATCGATTTTTCTATACCTCTTTGACGGAATCAGTCGCGTACATTTGAATTTGTCGAATGGCAAAGGAATCCGTTTAAAAGTCAAATTCACGGGTCTGGTCAGGCGAAAACCGGTGATAGGAAACTTTTAGATCCGCGTCATCGCGAAGCTTTCGCCGGCCGTCGTGTCAGTTGTTTATTGCGGAAGTTTCGGGGCAAAGGTTTCGCTCGTAAAGCCACGCATATAGGAATCCGATGTTACTTTCGTACAGGTCGGGGTGTTCATGCCCTTTGGAATGCAGCTGGAGCTGTCCGGTCTCCCGGAAAATGGCGTTTCCACTCTGTGCATCGCGCCGTACTGCATCGTGATCGCATTGTGCAGCGTGAGCGTGTTGGTCACCGTGGCGATCGCGGTGGACCGGTTAACGTCCCTCGCCCAGCCCCTCAGGTACAAAAACATCATCACTCACAGCAGCATCGAGAAGTACATCGCTGTGTTTTGGATCTACGCGATCGCCGTCGGCCTCTCGCCCTTGATCTACGCCGAGATCGCCGGGGAAACCCAGCCTCACAGGTAAAGTGTTTCAAACTCAATGGATCGCGAATGAAACCGAGAATTATCTTCTTCGAACGATCGCGCTACTCCTGACGTGATCATTTTAATTGCAATCAAACTCTGCCTCTGGATTCTCGAAATTAAGCGAAAATTATTAAAGGGGCAAAAAGAAAAGCGCGATGCAATCGCGATCGAGATTGCCTTTTTCACGTTTTCGTGCAGCGGAGCGAATTCCGCTGTGAACAGACGTTGCTAATTTCTTTCGCCTGTTTCATCGGAATCTCGTCGAAAATTCACGAGCGAGCTTTGACGAGTTCGCAGTAGTGCGAGTCGGCGTGAGCCGCGGCGAAGCGTGAACACGATCGCGAGGCTAATCGAAATTTATTATTCACCTTTTTCACTCACCGCTCACGTAGTTTGCATCGACGATTGGCACTCAGATCGCAACCGCGTAATAGGATTACTATCGAAAACGCAGGTGGCCGGCTCGACGCACGGTGTACGCTCCTCGTGATTCCCAGTAAGAGTTACAGATTCCAATATATATGCACATAGTTATTGGACCGATATAAACGACCTCGCCACGTGCTATTTGCTTCGAACACAACGCAGTTTCCTTCTGTCTATTAAATATCAAATGGTGGATACACCTAACTAGAGTTTACGTAACCCGGCAACTTTCCTCGGGGTGGAGGTAAACAATTATAAAACGCGACAGGGAAGGTAGAAATGTCTCGTTTAATTTAATGTAACGAGGCACGGTTGGACGTAATAATGATATTTTTTAGTGAACAGTCGCGCGATAAAAATACCTGCTAATTACCAATCGATAAGCGATCGATCCGCAGCGACCTATACTCGTTTTACCGATTAATGTTTCAAAATGATAATAGGAAAATAGGTAGTAGTCTCATCGTCGTTACTACGAGTTTATCTTTGCCTCTTGGCACGTGGAGATAATCTTATTCGAACGACCGTGATCATGCAACGACCGAAGGTCTGTACCTCCTCCTGTCATAATTGAAACTGTTCATGGTTACTGCTGTGGAATACGTGTCAAGACTCGTGGAACAGAGAAGGCGAATTAGCATGCCGCACGTGGACAGACACGTTCATGATTGATTTGGTTTTTGTTACAGTGGCAGTTGCAGGTTCGCTGCTGCCGTGCTACCACCGGTACGGGTGTTCCTGGTAATCGCTGTATGGGCTCCCAGCGCGCTCGTTCTCCTCGCCTGCTACATGTACGTGTACCTGGTGGCACGTGCACACGCGCGTGCGATTTACACGGTGGAGTTGTCGTTCAGACATCAGACACAGACGCTGGCGTTGCCGCGTTACGGCCAAACACTCGCGGTCACGGTCGGCGCGTTCCTCATACTCTGGCTACCCTTTCAAGTGAGTACCAGATAAATCTCCATTCGCGGTGCCGCGTAAACTCTTTCATGCAATTAACGTCCATTCACTCCCGCCGCGGCGGACGTAATATCTGATCAGCGCCGTGCTCGTACTACTGGCGCGTCTGACACGTGCCATATTAATTCTACTTTGCCAACGCGCGCGTGCAGACAGAATCCAATGACCGAGTGTTCTTGTTAACTGGTATTCATATGACCAAATGGCGAATGCCGGGAGATGTTTATTACATTTTTTGAATGCAAAAGAAATTGTATTTTTAAATATTGAAACAGAGAGAGAGAGAAATAAATGTATTTCGGACTGTGAATTGAATTCGATTCACGAAACAACTGCAGATAGAATGTTTCGTTACATTGAAACAGAATGTCAATATTTGAATGGGACAAACAAAAGCTAGAACGTTTACAGATGAACCGTTTCACGCAGTGTTCGAATCTCGTTTTTACCGTCACGCTGTCGAATGACATGGAATTTTGATAATAAGAAGAATCGATGTGACGAAGGTCCCGGGACCATCTGTCTTCATCCGAAAAGTTTCATCAACGGAGCGGTGAAAAATTACATAACTTTCGAAATTGCGACGGCGAAGAAATTACGGAAACCGAGAGCAAAAAGTCGTTCGCAAACTGTTCTCCAAAGTCGTTTCTTTTTATTCGAAGGAGACAATTGAGAACGATGTCGTTCCGCGAGACAACGACACTTTCTTTGGTTCTGCAGACACGTATCAGAGTTCAAGTAAAATAAATAAATTTCATTGCACGATCCGCGTCACGCAATGAATTCCTACGCGACACGTATTAATAAAATTATTAAACAAATTGTTGTACGTGCCTGATCGACTGGCAAGAGATAGAAAATCTCGGTTTAATTACCCGTGTCCCAGGCGCGGCTTCGTTTACGATCCGCCGACTTTCGTTAATAGAGGAGACAAGACAACTAGTGTCACGTGTACCACAAAGGCATAACTGCATAGTTCGAGTACATCGTTCACGCTTCGGTTACATCGAATGCTGCCACGTGGATGAACCAGATATTTCCCAAGACAAAGAGAAAAACTTTCAGTAAATTTTGACCCTCGGCAAAGAGCCGTCATTGAACACAATTAAAATTCACGGTTTCTTTTCAAATCAAAGGGTCAAACGAAAATTATCATATAAATTGTCACGAATTCTAGTTATTAAATTCGAGACGAGCTCGAGTCTCCGTTCCCTTGGCTCGAATTAGCTTTGCGCAACATTCACAAAGCATTTTAATCTATTTTGTAGACTTGCATGCTGTTGGACATCTTCTGCGGTACTAACATCCTCACCGAATGGGGAGTGTGGCTGGGGCTACCGATCATGGCGCACAGCGGCGTGAATCCATGGATCTACGCGTTCCACCACGGTGAGATGAGGATGGCCGCCGGGAAGATCACCGAGGAGCTCGTGGCTCGCTTCGGGATGACCCCTAGTCGTTACGGTTGCTCGCCGATGAGGCGAGCTTCCAATACGCACATGGAACTGGCCGAAGTGAACAACAGCAATGACAGTAGGCGACATCCCATCGAAGATTGTTTCGCAGCGAAGCAGAACGTCATATACACCAGTAGACGATGTCTGGGTGCATCGAGACACACGGACATCTCGCCAGAGAGGAATATCGAACACTCGTCTTCCGTCGGGCAACAGGAAGACATCGTCGAGGAAGATATCCACGATCTGACGAAGATGCTCGATTTGAAGTACATAATCGATAGGAACCACATGATCGATTCTAATCATAATATAGATAAAATCAAGAATTTGAAATACGTGTTGGATCCCACGTTCAATAAAATTAGACACTTGAGGAGACTGAATCATAAGAGATTGACCAGTAAGAACTTCTCGAAGGCGTCCGAGCCGAAGTTCACCTCTTACCAGAATCTGAAGACCGACGTAACGTTGAACAGAAAAGTGTTGCAGATGAACACTATGTCGGATCCAATGTTGAGCGCAGACACTCCGACCGCGAGTGGGAAACAGTTCCACGACGGTCTCAGCCCGGTCAACGACAAACGGAGGAACTCGAATTTATGCTCGATGTCCGATCCCGATATCAAAGCTGCGATCGGGCACTCGTCGGAAGTGAACTTGAGGCTCCCGACCAGTGGCAACGTCATAGAAGCGCATAGGTTCTCCGTGCAGAATTTAGATCACCATAGATACGACGGGGGATTGGCTAAACACGTCATGCTGTCCCAACAATTGGAGAATCAGAGGCGATTCCAAATCTATCCACGTCCTCGAGTGAAGATCAACTTGGCTGGGACCAGTCCGAATTTGAACTTGAGACTTCAGAACAGTTACGCTTCGCTACCCACGCCGGGCAGTATAAGTTCGTTAGAGAGTCCAAGGCAGGCAAGAACGTCTCTCAAGCACATGACGATTACTGCCAACAAACTGGCGAGCATCGGTCGCTCGAACAATTCGAGGAACATAGAATCCAGATTGGATCCGATGTCTCGAAGAAACGAGATAATGAGACATTCCGAATCGATCAACACCATCGAACCCATGACGCACGTCAGGCTGTTAGAACCTTACAGAGTGATGGAAACTCTCGCTGTGCCTACGATACACTCGGAGCCACCGAGCCCCATAGATCCCCTTCCCCTGGCTTCTCTAGAAGAGGAAGACACGAGGAATGGCGAGACTTTGAAACCGTCGATCAGCATCGATCACGCCAAGTCTCCGATGGGCGACAGAAGAAGCCCCGTGAGGCACTCGGACCCTGTGATACCATCCGTTTTACTAAATATCGAAGACTACAGCGAATCGTTCAACGGCAAATCTAGTCACGGTTCCTCGAACGCAGCTTCGCCGAGTCAAACGTTACCCATAGAACCGATAGGCCTGTTCGAAGCTCTGTTAAAAAATTCAGACAAAAGAGACGGCAGATTGCCAGAACCGATCTTCGCTGAACATGATTCGACGAGGTTCAGTTCGAGAAGACCGTCAGACTCGAAGTGGTCCGAATCCTCTAGGAGCCAGGAGATCCTGTCTACCGTGGAAGCCGAGCATCAGTTCCCTTCGTCCTATTCGGTGAACAACTTCCAAGTCTGCAACAGTGGAAGCGATCTGAACGATCTAACGTCGCTGGATCCTTTCATGTGTCCCGACGCGTTGACCTCGTCGTTGAGGGAATCGTTTTTCAGTGCCCCATCGATGCCCGGTTCAGAGATCTTCACTTCGTTCGAAGAGAACGAGTCCACTTACACGCCCGATTCAGAACGCGAGTGGTCCCCGTACGATTCCAATTCAAGGATCAACGCGAGGAGATCTGTGATCGAGAACGATCTACAGAGCAAGTCGACGGAATCCATGTTGAGGAACAAATGTTTATCGACGAGATCGGGACTAGAGCCGTCTCTGCATCGAAACAGATTGCGAGTGAAGGGTGCGGATTATTTCTTAAAGGACTTGTCCATGAAGAATCCAAGACTGGCGCCCCTAGCCTCGCCAACGCCCACGGAAATCTGCACCCCTACCTTCGAGTTTGTCTCGGAGATAAAGGGTGACAGTGGCGTCGGCGTCCGGGTGTAGATTCGTTTCCGGAGGACTGGATCGACGGAGACTTGTACCATGTACATTGTCGTGTGTATGTATTTTTATAACAGTTAGAGAGATCCTCTATCTTGTTTCATCAAGAGGTATACACGTACTTACGTATGTATGTATGTAATTAACGTAAATGTATATTATTGTGAGACGATGAAATCTAACTTTCATTTGGACTGTGATAGTACTTTAGTGGGATCATAGAGCGATCACGAGAGAGGGGAAATTATGTATAATTTAATCCTTCGACTCCTACGAACAGTTGCACCGAGTCCTCGTTTAAAAAGAAGTTATTCGTTTGTCGGAAGTGTGAAACTTTCAAGGAGCCTTAGGATCGGACTCGTAAATTTGTAATATATCGTTCACGTGTTGACTTAATCTAAGTGAAGAATTCGGAGGGCGTAAAGTGGTGACGAGAGTAATTGATTAAATTAATCATCTGATTAACGAAGTCACGCGTACAGCGCTCGTAAATTATCCGTTAAGATCGTAATTCACAGATTTTACCTCGCAGATCGCGGTTCACTTGGCCGATACTTAAGCAGTCATTCATGTTTCTCTAAACGTGCCAAGAGTTTCTTTTCACGCAGAAGAACCGGACTATGTGTTACCGTTCGAGTACCTGATCGAATCTGATGAACGATAATGTCTGAGAACGACGTTTGTCCTTAGACGCAGCCAACGAAATCTGCCCATCTTATAAGTTCCATACTTTCATTTATCTGTAATCACGATCTAACACCAGAAAGCTACCACTTAATCAAATTATCATATCCGATTAAACTCGAGAGGAGGAAGCGTTGTTACTCGACATGCAAACTGTGAATCAACCTTGTCCTAATTCTTGCGAAGATTGTAAGCACAATATGCTCAGAAAGTGTAGATATTTTCGTGAAGAAAATAATTGAGTGAGGAGAAGCTGAATCAAACGAAAGAATCATCTTCGATTGAGAAGCACACATATATATATATAGTAAGTATATTTTGAAAAACAATTGTACAGTAGATGGAACGTGAGGACCAAAAACTTTCGATACACGGAAACTAATATGAGAATCAGTCCTCGATTCTAGTAGTTCGTAAATTCTGGAAAACATGTTGTAATTCTTTTGTAATGTCAATCATCTATTTGTCTGAAATTTAACAATCGATCTGTGAATATTCCTATTGAAATCTCTAATTTTTATATCGCGCCGCTGTGAAAAAAGAATCGCTTCGCTAGTTCGAATTCCTAACAAGATAAATGAAAAAAAAATTATCGCGAGACTGTGTAGATAGAAGATCCCCACTGACAACATGCCAATTAAGTATTGAAGCTCTACGATACTTTACGATACATAAGTATTAGTTGACCGAATGAAATTATTTTTGTTATCTGCGATATTTTTTTAAGACAGACTTCCCTCTGCACGCACGTGTGTGTGTGTACAAGTATGTAACGCGCATGTTTCACAGGAAATTCCTATTTTTCAGTTCAATGAACGACATACGTGTGTAAACAAGTAGTAATATAGCTGAAGATGTACCGATTTGATTATTTCATTCGGAACAATTAAAAATAAAGTTTCAAGCGAATGTCTATAATGTTTCATTATAACAACTGCGAAAGATGTACAATCAATTTCTTAATTATACGTACTACAATAAAAGCAGATCCGACAGTTCTTAATTCCGCAAACCAGCGATTCGTTTCTACCGAGTGTCTTCCATTTATGTAAATCGTAGAGTAATTGGAACTCGACTTTTTAAGTTACGAATCGACTAAGGTAAACTGAAAACTTCTGTACAAACAAATAAATGTCGATGTGAGAGGCACGTTGATATATATTTTTATGAAGTTTTATCGTTCACCGAATTGATATCGAATATACGCGATACGAAGACAGACTAAACAAATTACAGATATATGTGAGAGAAATCATGTGTTGCTACTGTTTGATCACGATAAAGTTGTACCCTACCTGTATTGACAAAAGTGTAACAGTTTGCCAAGGGATCGTGCATATATTTGCACACCTCAACGAATTAGGTAATTCAATGAAAATTATAATAAGCTCTAATAACTGTACTGGATCCACTCTCTATTCGTTATCTGTGTATCATATTTCTTTTCATGTTATTTATTTGCAACATGTGATAAGCATGAAATCGTATGTTTTTGTATATGTATAAAAGGATATAATACACTGATTAGACGAATCTTACCCGAGTAATGATTTATCTTCCTATTTGAATTTGAAGATTTGAATAAACTTTCAGCACATGCGTACAGTATGGTATAACCCTCTCCCGACTCCGTAGATTGCGCGAACACATAAATCGAATGATTTTTATATATCCTTACAAGTAATAAATAATTCATTCAGTATCACAATATCAGTTTACTATCACGTATGCATCAGTATGCATTCAACTGTGAGAACTAAAAATGCACGAGCATTAGAATTAGAACTTGAAATCATTAAGACACATTTTTATCATTAAAAGCTTAGAGATCGCATCAATAGATAATTTGACAGATTATTCAGATATAGAAAGACAATACCTGTTAGACGGAATACTCCGTTCCTTCGAGAATTATAATCACATTTATATAGAATCGATTCGTCAGCCGAGTCATTGCAGTGCATCTGCAAAAAAGTTGTGGTTGACGAAATTTCCTACCTTGAACGTGCAAATGCGTGCGCAGGGAATATACCGTGTGATTAAAGGTCGACATAACCTCGCTGCTTTTCAAATCGGCCCCAGATACGTAGCATATGACAGGGTTCTACTCGTAAAAACCTCCGCTCGATTGTAATTAAAAATCCGGGAGAAGTTCGGAGCAGAATAAAATGACAGAGGATGTAAAAATCGACACGTTGACACTGAACGGAAGAGCGGACGACGAGGACATCGTGACACCTTGGGACGTTGAAACCAAGAATGAGACTGGAATCGACTATGATAAGCTTATCAGTAAGTTTTGTGCGAGATTTTAATGTCCACGTGTTTGCTCACCAAGATTTTCCTTTGTTACCCTAGAGAAGTTTGGTAGCTCGAAGATCGATGGAGAACTCATGGCCAGGTTCGAGAAGATCACTGGTCAAAAGCCTCATCATTTCCTCAGAAGAGGAATATTCTTCTCTCACAGAGATATGCACACTATCTTGAACCTTTACGAACAGGGAAAGCCTTTTTACCTTTATACTGGGAGAGGACCTAGCTCAGACTCTATGCACATAGGACATCTGATACCATTTATGTTTTGCAAATGGTTGCAAGACGTATTCCACGTTCCGTTGATCATACAACTGACTGACGACGAGAAAGCGATATGGAAGAATATTAAAATAGAAGATGCAATTAAACTGGCCTACACTAATGCTAAAGAGATTATCGCGCTTGGATTTAAACCAGAGAATACGTTTATCTTTTCTAACTTGGAACACATCGGAAATAATCCTGCGTTCTATCAAAACATGGTCAGAATACAGAGGAGCGTTACGTTTAATCAGGTGAAAGGCATTTTCGGATTTGGAGACAGTGATCCGATTGGAAAGATCTCGTTCCCACCTACGCAAGCTGCCCCAGCGATTTCTAGCACGTTCCCGTTTATTTTTAAGAACGCGAAGGTTCACTGTTTGATACCGTGCGCTATAGATCAAGATCCCTACTTCAGAATGACGAGGGACGTTGCGCCAAGGATTGGCTACCCGAAGCCTGCCCTGTTGCATTCTATATTCTTCCCTGCCTTACAAGGCTCTAAGACGAAAATGTCTGCCAGTAATAATAATACAGCGATATTCTTAACGGACACGGCTAAGCAAATAAAGAACAAGGTGAACAAACATGCATTCTCTGGAGGGCAAGCCAGCATCGAAGAGCATAGACAATTAGGGGGCAACTGCGAAGTTGACATAGCGTATCAGTGGTTAAGATTTTTCCTGGAGGACGACGAGAAATTGGAGCAACTTAGAAAGGTAAGTTCAACACAAATGGAAAAGCTGATTTGGATTAATAATCGTACGGATCTTTTCAGGGCTACACGAGCGGGGAGATCTTGACAGGAGAACTTAAAAAAGAATTGATCGACATTCTGCAGCGCATAGTAGCTGGTCATCAAGAGGCTAAGAGTAAATTAACAGATGAAGCAGTTAAGCAATACATGGTGCCTAGGGATCTAGGTTTTGTGATGAATGTAAAATAGCTGCACATGCATTATTCTATTATGTATGTATGTACATAAACTTAGCGCAAGTTTCCACATTTCCATCAGTTAATTTAATTTTATTTATTTTAGAAACACAACAAATTGTTTCTCGAAACAATGTGTATTTCTTTTTTTTAAGTCGATTAAATTGCTTTTATAAAGACATTTATAATCCTACCAATCCTTTCTGTACTTGCGAGAATAGCTGAAAAATATGAACTGTATATTTTTTTTTAAGAAGATATCACTCTCGTATAGACGATACTTATGTACCGTACATACGAAAAGATTATTGAAAATAAAAAATCTTCGAAGATTATAGTATTGTATACTTGCGAGAATAAAATATTTCCTATTGGCGAATTATAAGACGAAATCTTATATTTAACACTGATAGACACGATAAAATATCAGTTGCACATGAAACAAACATAAATGCAACTGACAAAACGTGTAATAATGATCACACAAATATAAAAACAAACGATACAAAATGGTACCGTTTGAAAATTGATGTATTATACACGTTATCGAATTCTGACAGAGCATCGAACGATGTGCATGATTATTTGTTAAATAAACAAATTATCATCGAGCCCGAATATCAAGCGTTAAATCGTATCGATAAATAGTCAGATTACGATAAAAGAAATAAGAAATCGTTGAAGTACGTTTGACGAAATAGGTACTTACAAAATTTCGAAATTCAAACGGCGAGCTGCGCGTCGGCCAGGCAGAGGCGGCACTGATAAAACTCACTAATCACTGACAGTGTAATTTATCATCGGCAAAAACTCGGTGTTTTTGTTTATATGTTCGTTAGCGAGAGTTAATTCCAGTATCGCGCGCACAAGAGTTAATTTTACTTCGGGATCCTTTAACTACGATTGCCCAGGCTCGAGCGGAAATCGTCGCTGCGCGATTGGCGGATCGTGACGCCATTTGGAGTGCTATTAATAACCGGCGCAGGCGCAGAAATTTGCCTAGTGTATATCCGTCATTCATGCAAGTCGATTTCTTTGGCTCTGTGTGTTGAGCCTAGCAAAAGAACATGGTGATAGTGATATGAAACAAGTCTATTAGCAATACCACGCACTACACACATATACTTTCACGAAGTAACGATGATATTTGGTCACGATCTCCCTACGTAAGTTTCGTGAGCATGCAGACTCGAGGTATAAACTATTTTCGTCGCGAAATTTGGCACTGCCAAATAGTTTCTCGTTAGAATCTGATATAGGTAGTTGCTCACGCTCGTGAGAGATTTTCCATTACCGTGTTCGATTAATCCACGTTACAGCGTTGACGAGGCTACCGTAATAATTGCATAGTGGACGTAATAACATGTAATTCGAATGCTTCCCATTTACGTAAACGTTGTACCGTGTTCGGTTTTTTCAAACGATCCTACGCTCCGATTATCTCGTTGTACGTTACGCTCGGTATCGTACCAATGTTGTGTTTCAATCGTCGTTTTTCCTCGGTCGAATTAAAATTGTAACGACCACGGCCACGGGACGACAGCCTCCGTGAGAAAATCATGATACGAAACGATAATCGGAGAGGATATTCTCTGAGCGATCCTATAGCGTGTGTACGCATAGAAAATTGTACGTACACGCGAGTCGAACGCGATACGAGGCTATTACATATTTGATTTAAATTCGTATCACGAGACGATGTGTTTGTGTCATCTTATCTCATCGAATGTTGTAAAACACGAAAATTCTACTATCTCTTCCCGTTCTTACGATTTTAGGTAAAACTCGAAAAAGTGTCGTATCGATGATCAGTTAAAAGATGCTGATCAAATAATATAGAAAAAGTAAAGGAAATTGATTGAGCTGACGCAGCGATTACTAAACGAACAGTACTACTATGGGGGCACTTTTGGACACTCCGAAGACAGACAAATATAACGAACACGGAGCTGGCAATGGATTGCGTTACGGCGTCGCCAGCATGCAGGGCTGGAGGATGGAGATGGAGGATGCTCACAGGGCAATAACCGGGTTGAAAGGCGGCCTCGAGGACTGGAGTTACTTCGCGGTGTTCGATGGCCATGCCGGGGCATTGGTGTCGGCGCACAGCGCCGAGCACTTGTTGGAATGTATAATGCAGACGGAGGAGTTTAAGGCGGAAGATGTTACCAAAGGGATTCACTCTGGCTTCCTTCGGCTGGATGACGAGATGAGAGAACTGCCGGAGATGAGTTCTGGCACCGAGAAATCTGGCTCGACGGCCGTCTGTGCATTTATATCTCCCAGAAACATATACATCGCTAACTGCGGCGATTCGCGAGCCGTGTTGTGTCGAGCGGGAGATCCGGTGTTCTCGACACGAGACCACAAGCCTGTCTTGCCCGCGGAAAAGGAGAGAATCCAAAATGCTGGCGGCAGTGTTATGATACAGAGAGTCAACGGGGCTCTGGCCGTGTCTCGCGCACTGGGAGATTACGAGTACAAAAATTTGAAAGATCGAGGCCCGTGTGAACAGTTAGTGTCTCCAGAACCAGAAATATTTGTTCGAGATAGAGACGATGAAAACGACGAATTTCTAGTTTTAGCGTGTGATGGTATTTGGGATGTAATGAACAACGAAGATCTATGTAATTTTATACATTCAAGGTTGCTGCTTACAGATGACTTAGAAGCAGTCACGAACCAGGTTATAGACACCTGTCTGTACAAGGTAATGATGTCTAAAGCTTCTTTACGATTACTCGATGACGTGTATCATAAACATTCTCATTCTTGGAAATTTCCATTAGCAGTGTTACGAGTACTTTTTACGGTTCTTCATGTTTCACTAAATTACGATAGAAGGTTCAAGCTTTAGATAACATCCTCTTCTATCTCTCTCTCTCTCTTTCTCTCTCACCCTGTCTTTTATATCGCTAACATTTCGTTTTCATTTGCTGAAATTTTCTCGGACGTGTTCACTCATTAAAAACGGTCTGTTTGTTACAGGGTAGCAGAGATAACATGAGTATAGTTTTGGTAACATTTCCTGCTGCTCCGAAACCAAATCCAGAAGCACAGAAGAAAGAAGCCGAGCTCGAAATGGCCATTGAGAGGAGAATCAAAGGTTCATTAACATTTCCATATTCAAATCAGTTATACTCTTTTTGTTGTTGCATTAATACTAAATCACAGTATCATACGCGTACTTGACATTCTGCAGACTCTCGATCAGAGAATAATGCTTGATACCATTTTTTTTTATTTTAACAATCAGATTTTGCGAATTTATTTCAAAAGAATTTGACCATTCTCCTTTGAAAAGGAGATAGATATATTATCATACGAAGAAAGTATAAAGTTAAGACGAACGTCGTTCGTATAGAGTACGAACCAGTATTTCCACAAGTGTCAATGTTTAAATATTAATATGCCTCGTCAATATTTTTACCTGTCTCTGACAAATCATTACTTTTCAAGATATAATCACGCTTGAAATGGAACAATTATTTATTATACACTGTCTATTGATAAAGATATTTTTCTAGTAAATGCCACATATCTTCTCTTTTTATATCTCTCTAATTTTCTCCCGAGAGAGAGAGAGGTATATGTACATATATATACGTGAATGTTTCCATTACGAAATGTTGAAAATTTATTCTTATCCAATGGATGTATTTTCCTACCGTATAACTTTAAACAAGTAGCTTTAGTATCGCTCTTCCTTTTGATTCCTCGAGTATAACTCGATCGAGCACATGAATAATTATAAACCGTGTGCCATATCACTAAACTAGTGAAACCCAATCTTATGATTAATCATATTTGTGCAATATAAATTACTTCCACGAATGATAGCAATAAATATCGTCGGAGTAGGAGAGTCGAGACTTGTTTCGATCGAAATCCGTCTCGACTTTCCCGACCCTCGTCATTTATACGTTCGTATAAATGTAATAGACTTAGTTCGAAACGTACATGCTTCATAGACATTTTTCACCTAGTGTGAACTCTGATTCTTCCGACGTCCAATCGTCGACTAGTGTCGTTGTATTTTATTGTATTGCCCATCAGTATATCGAAATATTTATAATGATGATGTATGACAAACCGATGGTTCATTGAGTCGACAAAGGTTTATACATTAGAATAGATTAGTGGAATGTTTTTTGTAAAGTCGAGATACCTGAAGGGTTTATCCGAGGGATAATTAAATAGGACTTCCATTTTAATATTTATGAAGATACTTTCCAAACACACGTAGAGTGTATTCGAAAATACTGTCAGCGTACGTTGTCACGCTGCCGGTATAGAGTATTATAGCGTTACGAGTATTTTAAAAAATGCGTTCTATGCCCGTTAAACGACTAGGACGATTACGAATGTGTCGGTAGTTGTTATCTGTTGTCAAATTGTATTAACTGTTTCTCCTTTAATTAAAGTCTTTTAACACGAATCATTATTTTTACTTGAAAATGCATTCCACCCTTGGAGTTGGTATTCTTTGATACTCTTTTAGTAAGTAAAATTTATCATACTCGAAAGTTGTCTGTTCCTCTTAATCGTATTTTGACCGGTGTCACAGGTAGGTGAACATTTTCTTACGAAAGCCTCGAAGTATTTTACCCGCTACATTTTCATTCTCTCGGTAATGCATTTCTTATGGAGGAACATTGCAACATATATATCTCTCTGTACGTATATATGTACGTGTATTATATAACATTATACAATTCCAATGGTGGATAAATTTAACAAGGAAGCATTTAAACTATATGTAACATTTGTCTATAGCTTAAACTCCGATAGCAATGTATCTACTTAAGACCGGATCTCTGTTTCCAGGATTTCCATAAGAAATGTACCAAACCATTAATTATTCCAGTCCTAAGTAGATGCATGTATTTTTGTATTCAGCTCGCCACGTGTTTTTATCTATTGTTTTGAAGGATAGCGTACTACAGAATCCTGAGGATACCTTCTAGATTTACGAAGGCGAATAACGCGTTCCACTTGTTAAATGACATGAGCCAAGTATTTGCTGCACAAATATGATAGTAGATGCACAGTATACACTGATTGAATGATAGATAATGTTTATAAAAGATGTGCGCTCAGCCGGCCCTGATCAAGACGAATGATATGTCTGTTCTCTTTTTAAATTTATAGAAATAGTTGCCGAACAAGAGGACAAAAATGAGTTTGATTTTCTGAAGCTGTTGCAACTGCTCGTGGACCAAGAGTTTCCTAATCTTCCTCCTGGTGGTGGGCTTTCGGCTAAGTAAGTATAATCCATGAATCGGCAAGTTTCAGCCTCGGAACTAAATTGAAAATTGTATTAAGGTTAACGTTTCTGGGATTAAAACGGATCTATTGTACTTGGCCTAGCTCCAAACGTTTCGTACTATGTACACGGTTCATACCGATTTCTTATTTTAAAACTTGATTTTACAGCACACGACAGTACTTATGAAATTATACGTGTGGAAGATTCATTTGAATCCTGTCAAAGTACTTAATTTGTGTCTAAAATGGTTCTCCCGTTTCTGTTTCAGGCAACCTTTCATTGAACAAGTGTTTCGAGAAGTATGTCCCAGCCGAGCGGACAGTGTAAGTCTTGGATACGATTTCCCTTCGATATAACTAACCTTTGACTTTTTTGTATACTGCATCAACTGTACAACTATAATCATTAGACATGTTCCATAATCATATAACGATGCAGATGCTATCGGGAATATCTTGATTTTAAATTGATCTCTTCCGATGTAAAAAAAGGACTCGTTTCGAACTTGCAAAAGAAGTACACCGGTATACGGTATTACGAAACTAAATCGTTTATCGAAACTAAATCTGTCGCCGAAACCGCGCGCAGAGATGCACAGACGATTCTTGCGGTGCGTTATTGTTGGCAAAAAGAAAACGGAAAAGAAATAAATTAGAGTTTTAAACGGCTACACTTAAGGATCGTAAACTGTTATATATATATATATACACCCGATCGATCGAAACCGCGAGTACATGAAATCGTTTCACGAACTTAACGAATTGTCTCCGACATCGACTCGATCATTCGACTCGGTCAGACGCGACGGAGACGTGTAAAAAGTTTATGATCATCAGTTCTACGACGTTTGATAGCTATTACTGCTAAAGGAAACGAACATATTTTCATTGTCAGTCGTGTACTTGCAATTAACGTACGTGAGTAACTGATAGTATATGAGTAGGCAAAAGAAAGTTTGTTTTATACCACCACTTTTTCCAAAACGAACATTGCGAATTGTAAGCAAATTAAGGAACGTTGATGATTCACACGGAACATTTGAACAGAAAGAGACGTCTCTTGATATATATATATATACATACATATATTTCACTGCATAACTTAAAGTAAACGCGAAGATTGAACTGACAGTACATCCTACAGCTGATTCAAATCAATATTGGTATTGGTGGTGTTCTCATAATTATCACTATCTATTGTTGGATTTTATAAATTCATCCATGGAGTAAAAAAGAAATGTTTATATTGCAGTTATAAGCAGAGGATTTAAAAGTATTCTACCGAGACAAACGCGTTTGCAGATATACTTATATCCCGTGAAAAACTAGATGACGTGAGAACTACTGAATAAATATCGCTCGCTGCGTCGCGATTCGTAACGCTGAACCGTAATCTCGACACCGTTTCCTTTGACAAATTTTTATACGTTTCGTTGGATCCAGATTTTTCGACGAAAGGGAAATATATTTTTTACCAGTTTGATAAAATTGTTTTCTCGTTTGATACTGTACTATACACGGAGAGGTTTTCGCGGATCGTTTCACAAATCTAGTTTTTCATTCGAATGAACACTTGGTAGAATATTTGGATCACGTCCTCTTGCTATGTTGATAAAAAAAAAAAAGAATGCATAATATTACTATAAACGATTATATATTTTTGTAGCTCTAGAGAACTTGCGCTCAGAACAATTGATTCTTAGGTCAGTTTTTCATGCTCTTCCGTTGTGAACCTTTAAGTAAATTTGACTAGAGCTGTTCATTACACATATATATATATATTTCGAGAGTGGTATCAAAAATCTTCTGTCACGCGCTAGAAGGAGAAGAGTAGAAAAACTGATCGTTTAGTCTTAGAGATATCAATACTATGTATGTACATAAAAAATTGTGTCCAGGAAACTGTGTATCGATATTTTATTCAGGTCATTTTTTTTTTTCTTCAAAACGGGCAGTGAGAGAACGTAGTTAAGGAGGGCCTTGATGTTAGTTTCTTAAGACCGGGAGATCGTCGTATACTCGTCACCCATTTTCGACTCGTAACTTGTTCCGGGGGGGGGGGGGGGTAAAATTTATTGTCTCATCGATGAGTATCGTCGCATCGTCCTTTGTAATTAAACAAAAGGTGACGTCGTTAATAGAGAATTAAAAAATTGTAACTTTATAACGAGAGAAACGATCGTGCGAGATCCTCGAGTAAAAAGGTGTCGGTCGGTCCGATTCGTCGTTTAAACGTGACAGAGGACAAGTAAGTATAGTACTTAAGACGCATCGGCAGAAAGAGCACGTTATCGATTTTTGACGATATTAAATATATTCGTATACGGATATACTTAACCGGTTAATTAAAGCGCGTACGTATGCATATGTGTGAGGTAACGATCATGTCTTTATTCTATTTCTTGTCATGTGATTAATGCTGCACCTTGAGAAATTCTTCTTTAATACGGAAACTATGTGTCAAGGCCATCCTGAATCATACAAAATCTAGCGTACATATACCAAAGTATATATATATTACCGTTCCTGGTTAAAAGAAAATTAATCCTGAAATTAACTGAAGTTAACAGTCTATTATCGTTTTAAAGTAATATATGAGAAATAAATAACACGAGTCCCTTACATAGAGTTACGTCCTCTATTTTTACTAATAACGAGGTATGGAGTGTATAAAGGTAGTAATATATTTTATCGATATCGTAGATCGTTTAATAATTCCCAGGTGTTGCTCAGATATATTGATTTATACGTTTTTGGAGAATATTCTTTTTTTTTTCATGGTGAATCCATGATGTATAGATTACTGAACACGTACAATTTGTTTTTCAGGCGTGAAAAAAGGTGATTCACGCCGTTTAGCTGTTACATACGCCGCTAAGATACGTTTACGAACATTTTCTTATTGTCTCAATACCTGTGTACTTTTAATTAAAAGTTTAACTTGGTCGATGGAATCACAAGTTTAACACTAATCTCGTATATTTGAACGCTAGTGATAACAAAAATTAATAGTAAATTAGATCCCTCGTGGTAATAGTGACAGCGGTCAAGTGAAATAAATCGAAAATGCATTTTTAATATGGGTCTCTACTATGTACTTTTCTTTTACTCATAGTCCTGTTCTGTATTCCTCTCTGGGCATAATTCTTATTAATTTCGTAACGATACACAGCGACACTCGCTTATCCTAACTTTGTATCATCGTACTTAGCGTTCATACAGAATAGAACTATCGGTTAACAGAAACGATAGAAGATATAGTGCATTTAAACAAGTAGTTGTTTGTTTTTGTTTTTCTTTTTGGGTTTGTACATAGGTACTTATTATATCTTTTTATTTTTTGTGTTTTTTCAACAAATTTTCGTGGAATGCGCTTGCATAATAATTTCACAATTACTTGGTAACGATTAACGATGTTTGCTTGGGTGAAACACTGTTCGTTTACGCGACGTGACGAACAAGCGAAAAGACACACGTACAAGTTTCTTTTAAATGCGTGTACCTGAATTGTGTTATTATTTAAACGATTGTGTAAACTCGTTTGGTTTTGCTTACCGATACTTAAAATCTCGATGCTTGTCTTACTACTACGTCTGTTCTTTTTATCTTAGATTGATAGATTAAAATTGAAAAGAAAAATAGAAGAGATTTTTCTCGAACCAAGTGTCACGAAGCCGATTCTCTTTTTATTGTTATGTGCATAATCCTGTTCCGTTTTCGTTCTGCAGATTACGTTGCATCAATACTCGATCCCATTCCTGCAATCCAAGTTGAACTACCCGATTCCCGATCTCAATAACAACTGTTAGTATCTTCACACGTTCGATGCGCATAATTTATTTCGCGAAACGAAACGACACGGTTCACAGGAAACGCAACAACACGCTTACCGTAATCTCTCGGTAATTAATTTGTCAATGATGCTTGTGTAAATCGAATGGTACACCCGAAAATATATTACTGAAAATTATATTTATATATATATATGTATATATATATAATTTTTCTTTTCTCAAACGAAACTGCTCTCGCTGTTTTGCATAAACAAGTGTATGTAAATAAAGGCGATCCTCCCCTAACTATTTTTTTCTCTCTCTCTCTCTTTCTCTCTCTGTCTACTAATGATTCTTCTTCAGTTTTACAGTGTAGTACTCGTAATGCATCGTGGAAAATAATTTTTGGAATGCGACATGCTTGATACGTACACTATGTAAATTGTTTGTTCAGTTGTATTGCAGCTGTGTCAAGATCTTAACTGCACGTTACATACGTTGTGTATATAATACTGATTTAAGGACACAATAATAGGAACAGTTAAGATCTTGCGGACGAGCGTGTATTTTATGTTGAAGGGGAAAGTACTGTTTCGAATTCAGTGTAACAGAGAACATTATGTATAATGCTATATCACACATAGATATGTCAACATATTTATCTATGTTGTTGTATATAATATATATACATATATGTATATATAAAATTAAACACGTATTTGACGAACTTAAATATTTTTATAACTGAGTATGTATTTTGCGAATTTTTCTTTCAACTATCCTTGCCACACTTTCTTATTAATTCTTAAACAATTAACACGTTCTTTCTGTTTGCCTTTCGCCGCTTGCAGTATCTTTCTTTCTCTTTCTTTTTAATTCACTCGTAACTTCGTTTATCAGATCGTTCTTGTTGATGCAAACAAAATTGGCATTGGACCGTACTAAAACGATTGTTGGTACAAACAATAACTGTTCAATGATCTTTCTCTTCTTCGTTTGGATGACGAATTTGTAATGTTGTTTGAATTAGTGATACGGAGTATAGACGTGTAGTATTTCAGACATAAATCGAACTTATTTGATAGAAATCGTACTCTTAATCGATTTAGAAATCGAACTGATTGGCTTTAAGTTTAACAGTAGTGTAAGTATGTAAAATACTATATATTTTCGATGGTTATTTGTTAACAATTATTTACTGTAGGACGAACACGATTCGTGGCGCGCGAGACATGAGTAATATTCTATTTTTCTAAACGAAAGTGAGAGAACTACGGCGGGGAAGCGCGTTTACTTCTCTCATTAAACTAAGCTAAGCGCTTTATTGTAAGCTTTACGTCTGAAAATGTGTGTACATAAAAATTAAAATACTATATGATGATATGCTTACAGAATTCTCAAGCCAGTTAGTGTATACACAATATGTATACGATTTGAATACATTTGGTATACGACAAACTGGCGAATCCAAAAGTCGTGAAAGTGAGATACCAAGCGACAAGAACACAAGCCGGGGAAACACTACATAAACGGGGAGAGACTGTGGAATGGTAATCGAAAACGATGTTAAACAGGCATACTTTAATCTCTCTGGTTACACAATTTTTTTCGGAGTCATGTATCGCATTGTAATACGAAAATCTGATTAAAAAGTTTATTGTACAAAGCATTTTAATTTTTAAGTAAAGATCTTCAAAGAATCTGATCAAGTTCTCTATAGCAATATACATAATACTATAGGTTTTTACTTTGAACGTATATATATATAGTTAATGTTGTATATTATTATCCTTCTATTCAATAAATATTTATCAACAACACGTCTCGTCGATTTCATTTATTAACTATACCGTCAACGTATCGCGGGAATAGATCGAGCGTCGAAACGGGAGATTCGGAGAAAGGAAACGACGAGAGTGTCTTTCCTTCCTGTTGGCGCCAGAGAGAGACAGAAACTCGTCCGAAGGACGGGTTCACAGAAATACAGACGCTCGGTCTATTTTCCTGTCAGCTAGACGATCCGACGCTTGACAACTCTACTTGGACGTGTCTAGAGGTCTTCGTACAAAATACGAACAGTTGATAAAAAAAAACAAATTCTAATTTATTTGTGATATCACAATGAAACTTTGTTTAGGTAAAACATAGCCATCTTGTACAATATATATACAATATATATGTTTATATAAATTGTATATTTATATATCGCTTAATAGTAGTAATACGATAATTAAAAATATCGTTCATACTCTTTTGTAAATTTTATTTAAAGAATACGTTACTAAGAGCCCGGCCACATTACGATTTCGAATGCGCGCCGATTTCGAATTTCCTCTCAACGTTACAATATACTTATCAAATAACATTTACAAATTTGTGCTGGTTTTCCATATAAATATCAATTTATATTCAACGGTCGTGTATCGTAATCTCGATCAAATTTGATGCGTGTAAAATTACTCGTCCGAACGAATCTCTGTGTCCATTCGTACAACAGACAGGTGTATCACTGTTACAGACTTAACAATTATTACAAGAGACAATGATTCGTCTCTTCCTCGACGTTTCTTTTTCTCGTACATAAAAAATTACATGGTACAAAGGAATCGTGATCCTTACTAAATCAATGTTACGATTATATATTTTGAACGCGTCCACTTGTTCACTGCGCACGCTCACGCGAAATTCAACATCGCTGCACGCGTACTACACACGCACGGAACGGTAACACTTTCTCGGAATGAGATTTATAAAGAAAAATCAAAACGTTAATTTCCTACGAGAATTACACATATGCATTTTAAGAACGATACAATGCAGTGCAACTAACCTACGTCAATAAATTCGTGCTCTGATAATAATAATGTACATCTTACGTCCTTATCGAGTCTACTAAATAGTTTTAACAACGTCCTGAATACAAAATTCGTTTTGATACACCGCACACGTGTCGTACTCTTAATTTTAAATATAATCAAAAGTGATTCGTCTGATACTCCCATTCGCGTTGTATATTGTCAGGTATGAAGTGTTTCAACAGATCGTACTTGTCTGACGTGCTGATCGAGAGATCGAACAACGTTTCCCTGCCGACATTAATCGTAAAGTAGAAGAGGGCAACGAAAGTAGGAGACTGTTCGGAGTTCCGACAGACGTAAATAGATGAAGTGAGCATAAAAAAGGCAGTCGTTTTAAACTCACGTCTTTGTGAACGAACAATTACCGAAGACACGGGAGTGTCCGACCGCGAGTTCGTACACGTAACAAATTTGTACCAGAACCGCAAACCGTATCGTGAGTTCAGCGAAGCTGTTCGGAATATCGTGTTACCAGTAACAGCAGAAATCAATAGAATTCAATGAACAGCTCGGAACCAACTGATCGTCAGATCTTTGTCAAAAGAAATTGAACTACGCTTTCACGTACCTTACACGAACGGATATTATTTACAATGCTTCTTAAATGTGTCCATGCTTGAACCTCGGATGTTCCACGGTGTTCTGAAGCATCGTCGACGCTCGTGCGTATTGAAACATACATTCTTACACGTGTAATGATGATTCGTATAAAAACGAGTTAAACAGAGCAGTCTATTTGTTTGTCGTCCAACCACGCCAGATAGAGGCTATGCTAGCCGCGGCACTTGTAACTAAACCGCCAGCGACACTTTGATTCACTTGCATACTAGACGATTGTTGACTGACCATTGCACCAGGGATTGGAACTACCATTTCGGGGCAAGCGACGTTTGGTACCTGGAACAATGACGTATGAAATAGAACAGGTGAACTACGCGAGAAAGCAAAACAAAACTCACAGCTTCCCAATCCCAATTAGAAGCGTCTTCCTCTTCGTCCGAAGCAGAGTCGTCACTGTTTTCTAAATCGGGAACTAATTGACTGTGCAATTGTGCTATAACATTTGTGTCAACTTCCATTGGACCAATCCTGTTTCAATAGACAAATAAACGTTCGTCAAAACTGTCTGTTTAACGTTTTTAATAATATAGATAATACAGTTACCTCCCAAGATCACTGATTTCGGTATTGAGCAAATGCATTATATTTTGTAGAGTGTGCATCGGATTTAAAACTGTGATATTTGTATTTTGTGTGAAACATAAATGTAACACGTTGCTATTGAGCCTCGCCACTTTCCTTGCAAATTTCTGATCCGACATCTCGTTCCCACAGAATTCACTGGAAAGACGTTAAATTCGATTTTAAACGATATGGTACCATTAGTCTTGTACGTATGAACGTGTAAAAATATTGCTTTCCACATACCCATAAGCAAGTTTATATGGTAGTCTAACGTTAAGATAATAAGCAATAATATTAACCAATTGTGTAGCGTAAGTTAAAGCTGCACTGATATTGTACACTGGATTGTGCATTGCAGTCTCTTTATTTGCACCTGGCACACCGTCCTTGTTCGCTGCCACTGAGAAGTCGAACAAATTAAATCGAGATCTCACAGAATTCGTAAGGAAGTGAATCAAGCTTAATAACGTATTGTACCCCATAAAGAATATGCATTGTAGTCCCCGTCTCCTGGCAAAGTCGGAGCAACGATACGATGTTGAACTTCCAGAGCGTTGTCCGTATCATTGACCCATCTGCCTCTGACGTAAGACGTGCCAGACGCATCTGCCAGTGCACAAGTCACGTCTGAACTAGCGTCCTCCTCACTACTGCATAAACTGAGAAAGTTCTTGGTTTTTATCATCGTCGGTATTCGTTAATTAGAAAAATGTGTGTTTCACAAATCGACGAGGGATTACCTTCTGCTAGGTTGCACTTTGGACAATGGAAAAATATATTGAATCAACTGTTTCGCAGCGGTTCTGATCACTTTTTTCAACTGCTGCCTCTTCCTATCTACCGCCTCTCTCTGTTTCTCTTGTTTCGCTCTCAACCCAGTGACGTATCGATGTAATTTTTCTACACGCTCTTCGTGTCTGGGTAATCTAAGCGCTAACTGAGAATTCACGTCTTTCAGAACGTTCAAACGTTGATTACCTGCACGTTATTAAAATCGTTTTAGAATGCTTCTAGACTGCTGTGTAAAATTCTAATTAAACGTACCTCTGCTGATACTTTGTCTAGTTTCGTTTACTAGTGACTGGAGTAGCCTGACTCTTTCTTTGCAAGTATTTATATCACATATCTATAAATATCAGAGAACGAACGGATATAATACATCTGACATGGCAAACTGTTCGCAGCAATTCAATTAGAAATTACCAATTTATCCCGTTGCTTATATTTCTCGAGTGCTTTCACGCATTTCTCTTCCAGCTGAGCTCTGGCAGCTTTCAACCGTAAAAGTCGCAGTTGTTTATCTGCAAATCTGTTCGACAAAGCACGATTTTTCAGAAACGGCGCATTTGAGGAAGAACGAGTTGAGCTTATTTAAGTATCAATGAGATGGTTCAAATCGGTTCTCGTTATCAAGGAGGAGAGAGTGTAAACGAACTTGCATACGATGCCGTGGATGCGACACTGTGCATGCGATACGATACACGAAACGAAATTCCGAGAGGAATCGTTTCATGAAATCAGGATTCGAGGTGCGAAGGCAGACGGGAACAACGAAATCACTTGAATCTAATGAACAATGCACGTACCGCTCGGAATAAACAGAAGTTGAATGGATGAAATCGCCATTCTGGATGCACTGGCGGCAGTAAAAAATTCTTCGGCTATTATGGCACAGCGGGCACTTGAACAGGTTCACGCTCAGACGATTCGGAACGTCTTCCAGCTCTGACGAAAGCTGAAAATCTGCAGGTGCTGTACAGGACCCATCAGAACTGCTTGTCGCCATAACCAACAGCAAGAACAATACACTTCTCGTACGTCTGTTGTCACTCATCAGCTGATCCACTATTTACTTATTGCAATCTCCCGCCACTCCACTCTCGATACCTTCCATATCGCGTATCCTTACTTTCATATCTTATTCGTACGCAGTACACACGATCGTCTATCGTGCGAAATTTCCATCGAATTCGTCGTGTGATCGGTTTAATTATTGAAAAAACAAACTCGAATTCTTGACTTGTGTGTCTCACAGCTGCGCCGTGGTAGCAATCCTCTTGAGGAATACCTGTTATTGTCTTTGACTATATATACATGGACTGCTAGCACAGCATAACTATATATAACCAGTATGATCACTCTCTCTTGCGAATTGCGTCCGATATCACGTGATACGCCGCCATGTTCTTGATATTATAAAATTTTTATTTCGCAAAGTTCTGTTGTACAGCTAGGAACCACGAAACTGAGCCAGCTATGTG